ATTGAACCACAATAAAATAAAATAAATTTAAAATATCATATTTAATTAAATTTTCTCGTACTTTCAATTCATTTCTATTTTGATCATTATCAAGCTAACATATTAGAAAACAAATTAAATATGTTACATAAATAAACAAAATTTTAGTGGGAGCAACCATTGGATGGAGTGTTTAATGAAAATTTTAGTAGGACATTATTATAATTTTATCAAACTAGTACGCTTATAATATAAATAAAGAGAACGTCAGTGTGGGCGGGGCGGCCGCCTACAGTACATGAGTTCGTCTGGTTATAAGATATGATTAGAGAAGTCCGGTTAGGTTAGGTTAGGTTAGGTTAAATTAGATTTGAACTTTCACTTTCCACAGTGTTAGGTTAGGTTAGTCCGGTGAGGTTAGGTTAAGAGAAGTCTGCCCTACATTCTGGTTTATAGCCACAATATTTAGCGATTTTGCATGGTGCGAAAATGACCTTGGTGGAAATAGAATGGTCCCAAGCACGAATGGTCCTCGCTGGTTCTCTCCGAGGCACTGTACAATAACAGGTCAAATGACATGGTTTCTTTTATTAAAAATAAATTTCGTGTTCTGAGCACAAAAAAGAGAAAAAAAAAATTTGTTCTGGGACAAAAAAAAAAATTAATTTTAATTTTTTTTAATGCCCTTAAGATTTGGGTAAATTACACACTAGTTTAATGTTTAGTACTTCTACGTTTTTGGGGTTTGTCTGCTCAACAATACTCTTACATTTTCTCTTCGACCGCCTGTTGATCAAATTTTTTAAAATTACAACTTTATTCTTTACTTTTATGAAAAAAATAAAAGCTTTATGTATTATTATATTGAAATGACAAAATAATATGAGAATATTATAATAAATGTTGAACGATTCAATTGTGTAATTTGTTTAAATTTTAAAGAAATAATTAATTACTCTTAATTACTCCTTCCCTTTATTAGTAATCCATTTTTCTTTTTTACATATTCCAAATTAATTATTTTTTTTAAAAAGTCAAAGTATATTTTCTTTATATTTCCATCATTATTTTTTTATCTTTTTAAAAATTTTTAAATTTTGTAATTATATATATTTAAATTAAAAAGAATAATTTGATAATTTTAAAAAAGGATAATATATTAATTACAAATTCTCTTAAAAAATTATAAAATAAAAAATAAGCAATTAAAAAGGACGGAGTTAGTATAATTATCGCTTTAAATTCGAATTTTGATCTTTGACGTGATCTTATTACAATTTACAGTAAGCAACTACCCTTGACCTTGATCTAAAGCCTATCTGACTGTTACTGGACTTTGTCGTTTTTCCTTGTTGGGGCTGGCCCAAACTTTTTTTTGTCTATACACACTTTCACCGTGCTCGCCCAAGGTCGGCCGACAGTCAGGCCTAACGCAAAAGAAAAGTCTACCTGTCACATGTGGATGATCATGATCCACGTGTCGAATTATTTTTAGCTAAAAAAAGTTGGTGGACTCAGTTCGGATCTAAAAGTCCAATATTCACCACAAGATAGGCACCATTTTCCAACCATTGGATCTTGAGGATCTAACGGTGAATCATTATTAACTTTTGCAATGTAGTAGTACGAAATGCCACGACATAGGTGTCCCAACAATTTGGTGGAGTGGAAAGACTCATACGTAGCATCACAAAATCGATCCGGGACCCACTATCTTTCAGGATTTCTGCGATTACTCGCCTAATAAAAACATCGCGGCGCGGTTGAACTTTAGTTCTTTGCTTCATACGTCACAACGTACCAAATCGACCCGATTCTCTCCGGTCAAATACTCTTTTGATAGGAAAACTGCACTTGCACTGCCGAGCACAACAATTTCTCGAATTAATTATGGCTGCAACATCAATCAAACACCCAAACTTTCTCAAATTTTCCGTTGGAAAGGTTTAAGAGCAGCTCCAACAATTCATAATTTAGAGATTCTGGACCTTTTTTTTTTTTTTTTTAGGTATTGGATTAATCCAATAAAGTCTCCAAAAAATGGACCCCATGGTCGTGGAATGGGTTGCCTTTTTTGGCAACCCAGTTAGTGATTTGATTTCAGGCTTCTGATTTGTGGGCCCGTTCATTTTTTGGATTTTTAACTTTGTGCCAGCAATAATTAGTCCATAATCAATTTCAAAAATCAAATTTTTTTTTTTCCTCAACATAATTGAATTAAAGAGCCATTAAGGACACAAATAGTGTCTTAAAGGTTTTTTTGGGCCAAAAAAAGTTTTAAAATTTTGAAAAAAAGTGAATTTTTTGTCCATTTAAATTTTTTTAATGTTTCTATTGATATTATATCCGTTTTAGGTACTATTTAACTGACTTAAGTAGTACCTTAGCGGCTATATTGACTAACCAAACAATTTTTTCCCCTAACAAATAGAAAAAAATAATTTATTAAAATTTAAAAAAATATTAATATTTTTGGAGAGTGAAAATGTACCATTGAAATACATGCGATGAATAAAATTTGGAGACTCTAAAATGTTAACGTGGCTATGGAAAATGGGCTATTGAAAAATGCTGATGTGACAAATTCAAAAAGCCTAATTTTAGAGAATCCATTGGAGATGCTCTAACGACTCACCTTGTTCTCACAATGGTCTCTTCTACTGTGTTCCCTACTCAACAGATCTTATCTAATACATTACTCTAGGGTTAACAACTCTTTCAGAAAATATCTACTTAAATGATAAAATGATTTTTGTCTAGGACAAACAACGACTAGATCATGTTTATTCCTCCAAATTAATATATGTGTTTTTCTTTAATTTCTTTTTGTCAACTAGACATAGTCTTCTGGGGATTTCAGTGGTAAAATAAATGTCTTTCAACTAATCAATCAAGCTCATTAGCTTAAAATTTTATCAATCTTTCGCTTTGTGTGTCCAAGTATATTTATCGATACATCTTATCAATCATGGATTGTTACTGCAAGAACAACACATTGTAGGTTCAAACTTACAGACCCTTAGAGCAGGTCCAATGGTCTGCACTTCGGTGATTTTGGGCCAGATTCCGCTATTGGACTCCTCCGTCAACAATTGGGCCCCACCCAATGGGTTGCAGAATGGATCGCCGAAAACCGCGACCCTATTGGCGAGCCGCGGGCTTGCATTAGTTTTGTTTTAATTTTTTTATTCTATTGCAGAACATTGTTTAGTCCAGAACATTGTTCCCAAGGCTCGGTTTGCCTGAAAAAAAGAAAAAGAAAAACAGAGACCAAAAGCCAAAAATATTCTCTTTTTTCTCTTTTCTTTTTTTTTTTCCCCTCAAAATAATTGAATCAAAGAGCCGTTAAGGCACTGTTTGGCTGACACAAACAGTGCCTTAAAGGTTTTTTTGGGCAAAAAAAGTTTTAAAAAAATAGAAAACAGTTTTTTTTTTTTTTTAATAAATATTGTATAGTTTAAATTTTTTGTATGGTATAGCCGTTAGAAAAAAGTTAAAAAATAAAATTTATTAAAAATTTTAAAATATTAATATTTTTGGAGAGCAAAAATGCACTATTAGAGTGCAACTGATAACTAAAATTTGGAGACTCTAAAACGCTGACGTGGCTATTGAAAAATGTTGATATGACAAATTCGAAGAACTTAAATTTGGAGAGCCCATTGAAGATGCTCTTACTTACAACAAAAGGTTCACCCCCATCCTTTCTTCTATCGATTGTGAGGGCCAAAAATAGACGCTTTCTTGATGCTAGGCGTGGTAACCATATACCGATCTTGTGTTGCTCCGTTGCAAAGTCCGGCATGGCATGGCATGCATGCATGGCTTGACTTGACTTCTTGATCATGGGTTGTTATTAGTAAGGATTGTATTTGATTTACAGAGGATAATCTGGCATTTGGCAATAAGAGTTGTTTGAATGGCAATTTGGGTATCAATAATGATTTTTTATTTTTATTTTTATGAATGTAATTATTTTGTTAATTCGATTAGTAAAGTAAACCTTTAAAATAGATATTTTTGTTATTTATTTATTTATGTATTTTTTTGTCAAATCAAATCCATAATGCATGCAATCCCACTAAGTTGGATAAACGTGGTTCATTTTTAATTTAATTTTTTAATTCAAAGTTAATTTCTTCCATAAATGTTTGCATCGTGTTGCGTGAATATCATGTTTTCGAAATAAAATTATTCCACTATTCCAATTTGATTTGTTACATGCTTAATATTCGCGACTTATGAATTAAAATTATTTCATATACATGATTTGTATATTTATTTTAATTTAAGATAAAGTACTTATTCAACACACATCACACAACACATTTAATTTAAGGATGCAATGCATTTTCAAATTATTACAATCAATTAGCTGTGTCAATGTATCATGAGTTACATTCTCAAAATAAAATCATGACATTGTTACATTTTCATTTGTTTAATTGAGAAGGAAATACTTATGAATAATGAATTATGATATCCTTGGGTACATGATTTGTAATGCACTTTACCATATATTTTAATCAGGATAAAGTAATTATGCAACGAATTTAATTCGAAGTGTTATAGTGAGATGAATGCAACAATTCTATTGGAAAAATAAAAATATGAAAAATAATATTTACACCGATTAGTTATAATGAATCGCTAACTTATTGTTTTTAATTATTTATTTATGCAACAAAAAATGATTCTACTATTTTTAATTATTTATTTATGCAATGAAAAAAGGAAGGAAAGTTTTATACTTGTATTTAGCATAAATAATTAATAAAAAATCATTCGAATTGACGGATTAATGTTCTAATAAAAGTCTATCAGAAAAAATGATCGAAGTAACAAAATTACAAATAAGAGAGAGATCCGGATCCGGATCTGGGTTCGTGGACCTGTACGGAGGCCAACGTCACTTGATTAACGGTGAAGAGTCAAGTTTTTTTTCTAGTCGACGATTAACTGAAGGGCCACTGATCGCTTAATTCTGACGATTAATTGAGAGGCCTCAGATCGCCTAATCTCGCGCCCACAAACCACAATCCGCCCGCGCGAGCAGTGCACTCTGTCTCTCTCTCTGATTCTCTCTCTCTCTCTAGAAGTCTCCATGTGTTCAGCACCATGAATTCGAGCACTTCAAATCCGCAATCCATGGCCAACTCAACACCAAACGACGTCTCAGGCAAGAAGGTGAGGAAGCCTTACACCATAACCAAGTCCAGAGAGAGCTGGACCGAAGAAGAGCACGATAAATTCCTTGAAGCTCTTCAACTGTTAAGTTTCTTTCTCGTTCCTTTTCTCTCCAATTTTCTGTTCACTTCTTTCTTTTCTTACATAATCTTATTAGCTGATTACTTTAGAATTTCATACCGAGTTTGATTGTCGATTTTGTGACTCTATTAAACAATTCTCATTTCCATGTTTGGACTTTGTTTCTTCTTTCTATACTTTCTTTTCCTTTTTGTAAGATTCAGATTCAGTTAGAGCAAAATTATTTAATTCCTTTTTTCTTTTGGTTTAATTTGTCTATTAGTTCATCTGTTTAAATGGATCTAATTTTACTAGAGAGAGGATAGCTAACGATCTTGTATAATCTTGATACCGGAAATTTGTTTACTTTTGAAAATTTTGATATCTATGTTGTTAGGTTTTAACGACTTGGATTGAGTGTCACTATTGCTCGGTTATGGAATTGAATTGGAGAATGTCGGTTCTAATGTGGTATGATTTGGATGCGTTGGTATTTATTTTAGTAGACAAACTTTTGGTTCTTTTATACTTTTTAGACTGGCCTAATGTAACAGGATAACTATTTGTGTTTTTCTAGATGTATGTGAGATGGAAAGGTTTAAAGCTGACTTACCTTTTATGTATTTTTTATGTTATAACTTACAAGAACTCCTTTCCCTCCTCTTGATTTGATGAACCATTCTCTGAAATTCAGTTGGTTTGGATATGTGAAATTTCTAGGTTTGATCGCGACTGGAAGAAAATTGAAGACTTTGTTGGTTCTAAGACAGTGATTCAGGTGCTTATTCCATCATCTCACAGTTTCCTTTACATGATTGTTTCCTTACTTTTAATGAAAGCTATATAGTTTGTAGATTAATCAGCCAGTATGACATGGTTGATAATATTGACGGAATCTAGATAATTTTGTAATAACTACATCTTATGCATAGAACACATATTGGGTTACTTTCTTATTTTTCAGTCATAAGCTTACCTCAAAATTATTTTTTATGATCTCTATTTCGAATTTTCAGTAGTGAGGCTATTTGGTATCTGTGTATACTTTGACCAAATTATTTTGACCTATATGTTGACATCTCTTTTTTATGAAAGCAATCCATGAGCTTTTCCTTTCAGTTTCATAATATCTACATCTATGCATGCTTAGTATGATTTAATTCTAAATGTTGAAAATATCCCATCTCATTTAGATAACTGGTAATTGAATTTCTCTATTATATAATGGAATTTCAATATGGTGTTTAAATATACAATTAGATATTTTAGGAACTTTTAAAAGGAAGTGGTCCTACAACATGTGATAATATATATGTATGCATGTTGTTGTTGCCAATGTACTTAAGGTGTTGCCTCACTTTTTTGAGTAATTAGTCACTTTTTTGGGTCGTTAGTCACTTTTTTGAGTCCTACAACGGTCTAACAGAACCATGCAACGGAAAAAACTGTTAGGCATCACCGTCTATGAAGTCAAGCATCACCTTGTGCACTTGTATCCTCGCCATTTCGACTGCTTCCTTTGAAGTTCTCTTTATTTTCCCCATTTGCCACTCTCTCTTTCTCTAAGACCTCCATCGTCCTATCAGCAATACCTTCATCACCATAACAGATTGAACACCCACAACAAACAAGAAATGGCTGCCATTGTAGTCTGACTAACTATATTACTTGATTAAAAGGTTCTTAGATGGTTTTTTGTTGGAAAATTGTAGGCAAAGGTTCACTCTACTTTGGTTACTCATATGAAAAATTTTGAAGTCCCTCACTTCTCATCAATTTCTACCTTTTCATGGTTGAATGTTATTCTTCTCCAAGATAGTTCCACATGACATACCAAAAAGAGAATTGAACAAAAAAAAAGTAGTTCTGTTGAACCACTAATATTGTGCATTTACAATCATAAGATCTTAGGTTTTTCAAATTTCTGATTCCAACTTCAGAATGTTTTTTTTTTTTATTTTTTATTTTTAATTTGCACAGTATATCAGTGCAATTTTTTTGTATTTCTTTGCTGAATATGTTCCATTGCAGATTCGGAGTCATGCCCAGAAATACTTTTTGAAGGTCCAGAAGAATGGGACAACAGCACATGTGCCCCCACCTCGCCCTAAGCGCAAGGCTGCTCATCCTTACCCGCAGAAGGAATCGAAAAATGGTCTATCTCCATGCAATAATGATAATAGACTGAAGAATTGTAACTGAATGTCCTGACATTATTTTTTCTTTTTGCAAAATTGGCAGTTTTAGTGCCTCTACAAGTATCCATGGCTTATCCTTCTTCATTGAATTCTCTTGCACCTGGATACCCTCCATGGGATGAGACTTCCATGCTTATAAACACTCCTTCAAGTGGGATCATGTCGTCCCAAGAGGAATACAATCTGCAAGGAGTTGAAGGCAAGCACAAGTTTTTATTTTTGTTATACCTTACGTGTTCATGCATATAAAATATCCATTGTAAAGGGAAATTTCCCCCGCTTATTATGGTTTACAACATTACTGATTCAGCTGATATTGGATCGAAGGGGGTAGCGAGGATTAGTAACTGCAGTGTTAATGGTATTGGAAGCTCGAGCAGAACAGTACTAAGTTCTGAGTTACCAAAGCAAGGGAAACAGGATTCTTTGCTTCATGGTAATCTTCTTGGCCATATTTTCCTTTTATGTCAGTGATTAGTTTAAATTAGTCAGATCATATCCAAGTTTTAGCTTTGCAGCTGCTTTCTTCGGTAGCACACCTTGCTCTCTTTCTAGTGTTCCCTCTATCATATTGTTTCTACTTGGCTTGGCTTAATTGTATCATAGGAATTCAGCACATTATTTCTTATTTGCCTAGATATACATTTAACACGGGGGATCCTTTTTGAGGTTTTTAGTTGTCAACTGTCCTTCCTCTCGGGTTATAATGGCATATCCTGCAATCTCTAGGACATTGTGACACGTATCATGCCTGTTTTCTTGTTAGTGCATATACATTTTACATTATCCTTGTCGCAGTGTTGTGATGTGCTTCAAATCATTCATATTTATTCAGCCAAGTAGGTCCATGCTTAACATGGGTCCTGTTCAGATCTTCCAGTTGTTACCTGCTTAATCACGTCAATTCTATAGATTAGGCTACCAGGTTTATTGATTGCCTGTCTACTGCTTATCACAAGGGCTGATAATTTCAAAATTGCAAAACAACCATATTGCTTCTGCGAGCACCCCCACCCACCCACAGGGTAACGAGAAACCTTTCCAATCTGGTGACCTTTGGTACAGGACACTACACGGTAAACCTTGGATGTGTGCCAAACCACACATATCGCTTAAACTCTGGTGTTTTTGCGCCCTGTGAGAGTCGAACCTAGGACGTCCGAGTTTATAGTTCATCCCAGGTTAACTATTGGGGAGAACCTAGCATGTTATTCTCCTTCTCTCTTAAATATATCTGTTCAACACTTCAAATTCATGAATTTAAATACTAGTTTGTCATTAATCTGTTTCACTTGTCTTTTGCCATTTCAAAGCATTGGTGGACAGTGTGTGATTTTGGATATGTTTTGCAGGTATACCGGATTTCGCTGAAGTATATAGCTTCATTGGTAGTGTGTTTGATCCTGAAACCAAGGGCCATGTGCAAAAGCTCAAGGAGATGGATCCCATTAACTTTGAAACTGTGAGTGAGTTGAAACTTGTGTGTATCCGTGGTCTTCATTTTAGCAGACTGCTTGATGCTCCTATTTTCATCTGATATTGTGTGTTCACAAATAGATTTGTTATCAAATTAAAATGATTGGTGATGAAATCTGTGTGGTGGTGGCTATTGGCTGGCAGCTGTTCTGTAGGATGCAGCCCAAAAAGTTAGGTTGAGAAGTGCTTCTGGAATATTTGGCTATTATCTACCTATAGGATTACATTGCATTAAAGTATTATTTTTACTTGAGTTACGTAACAGTATTCATGCCATAAAATAGGAATACAAAAATCAAAATGATTTTCATGATTTTATGATGGATTAGTTTATCTAGAGAAATCATTATTGCCTTGCCTTTGTTCTGACCCCTGCATATAATAAATAGTGTTCCTCATTTTGTATAGCTAGCAGTGGAGTAGAGTTTGTTGCAGACTTGTTCACAGTGAATTTATTTATGTTATACATTCCATTAGAATGAATTGTCCTGTCAAGTGAATATTGTTCGTGTTGACTTGTAGGTTTTGTTGCTGATGAGAAACCTTACTGTCAACTTGTCTAGCCCTGATTTTGAGCCAATTGTAAGTTCTCTTTTTCTTTGATATTATAATCATTATTTTTTAGATAGAACTAGCTATTTTATTTTAAAATGCATATAATTTCTGTACCATTTGAGACTGGTTATATTTTAAAAGCATCATTTTCTCTGGATTGGCTGTGCTGCAAATGTGAACATGAATGAAACTAGCTCATCACTAGACTGCTTATCAGGTCTTTCTTGGTCCCCTATGTTTTAATCCTCAAATCAACCAATTAGTTTACCAAGTTTCATTTGGTTTGGCCAATAATTTTAAGGTAACGTGATTTTGCTCAAATGCGAGTGGATTCTAAGGAGATTTGCTCTCTCCCACTCATATTTGTTTTGTGTATGTATGCCCTATAGCAGGCCTTGCTTGCTGCTGTAACTAAAATAATTAACTCTTCTGGAACATGCATAACATCAGATATATTATGTTGGATAAACTTGGCAAAGATGTTTCTACATGGCTAGTCACCAGGCACAGTCACAGCTGCCGTATCTCTAGCATGATGATCATTTCTAGATGATTTTGAAGGCTTGAAGCATCCGATTGGATGACCATCCGGATCACTATTATTTCCTCTATACGAATTAGTTGAGTAACATCAAGCGGTCCACATTGTTTAAGACCATATAATCTCCCAATATTTTATTACGTTGAAACTCAAGATGGAAAACTGGTGAACTTTATATATTAGAGTTCAACCTTCAGTTTGTAAGCCATTCTACAAGATATAATTTGCTTATGGAGGTCTGGACACTTATTCAGAAGAAGGCAAGAGGAGTTCAAATCCATAAATTGCTCTTGACATTGACCTTTCAATCATACCAAGTAATGAATTAGTTGATGAAGTTGGCTGGTTGTGCTAACTTATAAGCCCATATATGCTGCAGTTTGTCAGGAATACTAATTTTCCCCGAATAAGATTATTTTTTCTTTCCACGGAGTTAATATTTTAATTGAGGATATGGATGCAAAAAAACCTGTTGATGATTGAATTCTCTATGGAAGATGAAAATAAAACAAAAATTACCTAAACAAAGAGTGACTATTGTGATCTGGAGCTAGCATTTATACAGGAAACTCTTTTCCACCCCGTGCCCAAAAAAAAAAAAAAAAGAGTTAAATTCCATTGTTGATCTGAGAAAAGAATTTCAACAATGTTAATATAACTATGATTATAAGGTTTTTCACATTCTTAAATCAATGAATCCTCAGAATGATAGTTCTGTTATCTTGATTCATTTGATTCATTGGTTTGTGCAGAAAAAGGTCCTGTCGTCGTATGATATCAATACTAGAACTGTTGGAGTTGCTGCAGGATGTGTAGAAAAGAACCAGGACAACCATTTATTATGTTGAATTGTTGAACTGCTTATAATCTGCTGTATAGTATGTGTTTTCTTTGATGGTTATTTTTCTTGTGGGGGGTAAGATCTTCGTATGTGACGGAAATCTATATGTTTTCTTCATCAGCATTATATATGGCAAGCGTCTGAACATTCTCACACAGGTCACTCTGCAGGCTGAGGACTGGAAATTCGTGGATGTAGTGATGCAGCCACTTCTGGAGAATTCCAGAGCATCGTGAGAAGAAAGTATAACATCCTCTGATTTTCAAGCCTTCAAGGATTTCAATGTCCAGAGGCTGAATGGAAGTGTTTCTATCTATTCTACTGATACAGGTGGTCAGCAGATGATATATGTCAAATATATATATTTTTTGGCAAATGTGTAATGAAAAATAAAGTTAGTGCCATTTTCAGTTTTGTGGATGGTATGTTTCCAAGGTGTAGTTATATGACTTTGAATAATGACAGTTGAGAATAGAGACAGTTGATATAAAAAATTAATGCTTGATTAGAGTCTTGACTTTGAAAGGTATTTTATGAAGGGAAAATATATATATATAGAAAAATTGGTTTTTCTTGGTACAAATACAATTTGGCTTTCATGGTAAAATATAAACACATTCAAAGCCATAAGTAGCTTGAATCATATTAAAATAGTTGAGACGTATTAAAATAGTTGAAATATTATTGATTAGATAGCAGCGAGTAGAGATTTAAGTGATTTAAAGGAGGTGGATGTGGGAAGCCCTTTGCTTGGTAGTTTGATTTTCACTAGCAAAACTATAGACCATTTCGACTTCCTTACTTTCTCTAAAATATTCCAGAGTTACACTTATCTAAAATTTTCTACTCCCTGTAAACAAAATTTTCACGTGTTATTTTTTTTTACCAGATCTATCTAGATTTTACTAGTAATTATATAGTATGACAAGCGTTCAGCAAGTCTTAACAAATAAATATATGGTGAGAGACTGGAATTGAGGATGTGGACATGGTATTTTGTGATGGTTGATGATGATAAATAACTAAAATTGTGTTTAATCTTGTGTTTTTGGTATCTAACTGCATAAATGCTTATTTATTTTTCATCCAACTATCACATATTCTTGAGGAAAATCTTCTATCTTGTATAATGATTTCAAGTTGTCATATTAAGTTTACCTTTTTTTGTTTTTCAAATTTTGATTTAGGTTTTTCAAAGGGAGAGGAATTCCAAAATGCTGCAAAGTGTCCCACACCAAATTGTTCAGTCACTAGCCAGGTTGGGCCTATCTAACCCAAATTCACTCTCTTCAAAACCCCACCCCTCCTTAAATTTTCCTCCCAAATCCCACAATCTCATCAACCCATCAACAGTCAAATTTGTCAACGAGACTCTCCGAGCTTCGCCCAATAGATTCCATTGGCTTGCTTAGTATCATGATACGCGAACAGGCCGGTTCGTAACGATTCCACTAGGTTAGTACAAATTCAGCGCTCAACCAGTCAATTTTTGGTAATACTCCAGTTCAGGTTAGGGTAAAAACAACCATGTTTACAGTACATATCATATTAATCACGTGCAAAAAAATACTTTTAAAATTTTAATTTGGTACAAATAGGTCCCTCCGACAAATTTAAACCTTAAGTTAACTAAATTACCCTTATTGAACTATTTTATAAAATATATAAAAATAAAATTTTTGTAAAATGACCTAAAAAGACACTATTGGAGGATGTCACGCCCCTAATTCCACGACTTGGGTCGCGAAGAAAGAAAGAAAGAAATAATAATAAAAATAGATAATTAAATAAATAATTAATTAATTATATTCACTTGAGTAAATAAATAATTAATTGGAGAAGACCGGTGTCATCCACCACATAAATAATAATAATAATAATAATAATAATAATAATAATAGTTTCATAAAATAAATAATAGCATGATTAATTAATCATTTATATTAGACTATCCAAATGAACCCACATGTACACAACTTAAACAATAATTGTTCAATCCCACTATATAAGTTATGGCCACCATGGGCTCATTACAATCCATAAGGTGAGAAATAATGTTAAGGGATTACATGAGTAAAGATAAGAGAGGAAATTCCATAAGAACTCCAAAAGATAGATGAGTGAGTTCTTATATCATTTCCCTTCTCCAAAAGAATATTAAAAACATGTCATCAAATATAATATCCAAAATACACCATGTGTCAAAATACAAGTCCAAAAGTAAGTTACACAATGGATGTCACAATTATCACAAGTGGCTCAAAAATGTTGTTAAGATCCCAATCAAGCTAGGGATGAGAAACCTCCTCTTGGGCAACGAATTGCTCCATAGGAATGTCTCATGAATATAAATTAGGTTTATCAAAATTCTACAAACATTGCATGGTCATACAATACAAGGAACATACTCCTTAACGTCTAGTCTCAAGGGAAACCTAAATAGGATCATCCTAGTCTAGCATAAATAATATTAATTCATTCATCAAAACAAACATAAGTAATAATGTGTAATGTACATAAATTCACAAGTTGCAATAACACATAAATGCCAACTTGAAAATAAAAGTCGAAATCAATTAACGGGATAACTCGGAACACACCCACACTCCCGGTCACATAGCTATGTTATGCGCCTAAATAAAAATAGTCGTTTTCGGATTATTAGTCCGCCGGAAACTAACCGATTGGCAAATATAAAGTGGGGAAACTCATGTTTCACCTGCGAACGCTGAGCCCTCGCATTCTCAAGTAATAACCCCCGAGTATCTCCTAAAATCAACAAACAAGTCCACAAAATAATCCATATTCCATGATATGCCCAAATTGCTTTTCACATGCGCATATAAATTATACTAATCACACAATCCATGTCCTATGGTCCAAATCACTATAATGGCATACTCTTGATGCAATGTTAACAAATTGGGTATTTTAAAGTCATTTAAATTCATGTTATCATTATATCAAATTTCAAGTGTGTAAAAGTTTAACATCATCATTGATATATACATCTTTAAAATTAACCTTCACAAAATAACAAATACATGATAATTCCATAAATAAACATAACATATAAGGCGCTTTAATTACAAGAAATTGTACTCATTAAGATCTAAGACTTTAATTAACATCTATAATATCAACAATGGAACAAATAATATATTACACAAGAAAATTGATATAAAAACCAATAAAACATTATGGACATGGAATTAAATCATTATATAAGCTCTCTAATTAAACCCACACACACAAGTGTATGCATAACTCACACAATGGTCATAAAATTCCAAAAACTCCTAGGTTATAAGCACAATACACCCCTACCTCAAGTTAGGAGCAAACCCTAGCTACTCCAAAAGAAAAATGTGCTCCAAATCCAAAATTGATTGAGGGGTTTTGTTCCTCTCGTAGTCCCCGTCAATTTCCCTTCTATGCAAGCTCAAAATCTCAAAGGTTGGAGGTGAAATGGTGGAGAAATGGTTGAAGTAAAATGAAAAATAAGAGAATGGGAGAGAGAAGAGAGAGTGTCGGTAAAGTGGGAGGAATGAGAGGATTTTGGGTTTATCTTAGACTTTCTCTCTCTATACAAGCACACATATACATATCACACACATTCTCATCCACACATATCCTATCAACTAGTCAACCTAGGCCCCACCACATAACAAAATACAATTAAAAATAAATATAAAAGGAAAATAAAAATAGAAGACAAGACTTGGTCATCACAGAGGATGCCTCTCTCGTGCAAAAAATACTCCTAAAGTTTTAATCTAGTACAAATAAATCCCTTTAACAAATTTAAACCCCAAGTTGACTAAATTACCTTTACTGAACCATTTTATAAAATATATAAAAATAAATAATTTTATAAAATGACACTATTGGAGGAAGTCGGCAATGGACAAGTAAATATAAAAATATAAAATAAAAATAAAAGTATAAAAAAAAAAGTAAAGATAAAAATAGAAAATAAAAAATAAAAATAAAGTGCAAACTAATTTTTTTTTTTTTTTTTTCCAAATTCCGAAAACTAGTGCACACTGATATTATATATATATATATTGTTTAAAAGTGTTGGGACGAACGAAAATAAAATAAAGAAAAAATTTTTTTTAGTAAAAAAGAGTAAACTGAAATCTAAAAAAAATCAAATTCTTGTTTTACAAATCCTCAAAGTTTTTTTTTTTTTTTTAAAAAAATGTTTAGAAATATATATAGAGAATTCTTTTATTTTATTATTTTTTATTATTATTTTTTTAATATAAGGTAACGCACGCATAACAACCCTATACATAAGATTAGTAACATATATACCCCTTGGGCATTTTCTGAAGAGTAAAATAGCAAAATGGGTATTACAACGCTAATTTATGTCCGATGGGGTATTTTTGCATAATGTAAAAGATTAGAGATATTTTTTGCACACTTTTTAAAATAAGGATAAAAGAGTAGTACGCATAATATATTTTAAGAGTATTTTCTACACATCAGCCCGTTTTTAAAGTGTGGGACGTCTTAAATTCTATCTATATTTCTAAACTACCATTACCAAAGCTAAATATTCATAGAAATCTACTAAATTAAAAGATTTAGTTACAATCTTCCACTAAACATTTTTTAAATTTTTCATAAGACCTCACCACATAAAATCAACACCTTCCCATTTTAAATATTTAATCAATCAAATTAATTCAGTTCTTTATGTTTATGAGAAATTCTTAATTCTTTAAATCAATGAAATTAAAATATTATATTTAGTTTAATTTTTAATTCTATTTTTTGTTTTTGAATTCTCATATGTTATATATGGTATGAATTTTCATTTCTTCTATTAATTAATTTCAAAAAGTATAATTACTAAACTTTTTAATATTGATATTGACTCAAAATTTATAAATAGGATATTATTCATGTTAAATGATATTAAAAAATTCACCAAAATTTACTAAAAATCCATCTTTATCGAATTATGTTATAAAAAGTGGTGTATCGGTGCATTTTGGTTACTATGTGTGAATTTTAAAAAATTCATGACTGCGATAAACGAGGTCATTAAGTAACGCCGATATGGATCCGATTCCATTATACCGTGACCAATACCGTAACTGCGAACCTTGATCATTATATCAAATAATCATTTCAACATATAATTCAACATATTTGCTGTCAAAATAAAATATTCAATACATAATTCATACAATACAACAAAATAGAAATTGGCTAACAATAATTCATCCTTTGATTCATCAAGAAACCAATTGTTCAAATTTTTTTTTTGTCTTCAACTGCCCACAAAAAAATGTTTTCAACTTTGCAAAAATAATCCAAAAGAATAGATATAAGAAAAGGATAGTTTTGTTTTCAGGTTAGAATTAAGTAGTATAGTTTCTCATTTGTTATGACAACCAAACACCAAAAAATAAAAAAATATTTTCTAAAAAATATTTTACATTCAAACAAATAGAGCCTAATTTATACAATGATAAAAAAATAAATAAATAA